GGTTGGTCTAGCTAGAGGAGGAGTAGGACTCGAGTCGCACAGTGGGGGGGGTGTGGCGCCGTGGTGGAGCTCCTCCATGACATGTGGGGCCCGGCGGATCAATGCTCGCCGGGGTAAATCCTGCAAACCGGGGCCCGCAGCATCACTGGGGTGAAACTAGAGGTACTAATAATTTCAAAAAAAAAAGAGGTACTAATAATTTCAGCATTTTAAAAAAAACAGAGAGGATAGGGGAAAACGGATGATTGAAATGCCATGTCCATTTGAAATTCTAGAGGATTTTGATTCGTTTAGTTGTGTTGTCCGATAAACTGAATGCTCCTTTCAAGAGTTTTGAGTGAATGGCAAATTTTATATGAAATAGCTCAGGTGACGGTGCGCCCAACTGATTCACCGTTTTGGAAAGGGTTGATGAGAGTCAAGCCCCTCTTCTTTAACAGGACAAAAATCTTAGTTGGTGATGGAGCTACTACGAGGTTCTGGGAGGATACGTGGCTAGGAGAAACACCTCTGGCACGTCAATATCCCATACTGTATAGCATTGTTCAACGTCGAGAAGTATACGTTACAAATGTCTTACAGTCAACGCCTCTCAATATTAGCTTCCGGAGGACACTAGTGGGTGAACGATGGGAGGCATGGCTTCATCTTGTACGACGGCTGATGGATGTCTAACTGTCTCAGGATCCAGATAGGTTGTTTTGGAAATTGACAAAGGACGGTAGGTTCTCGGTTAAATCCATGTATCTGGATGTCATTAATACTAGTGTCATTCCTTGCTCCAGACATGTCTGGAAAGTTAAGGTACCTTTGCGAATTAAAGTGTTTATGTGGTTTGTGCATAAAAAAGTAATTTTGACAAAGGATAATCTGGCAAAACGCAATTGGGTGGGTTCTGCTAGATGTAGTTTCTGCGATTGTAATGAAACTATCAGGCACCTCTTTCTGGATTGTCCACTGGCTAAGCTTTTTTGGCGTTCGATTCATATTGCCTTCAATATTATTCCACCTACTTCTATCAATATGTTGTTTGGAACATGGCTTGATGGGGTAGACTTGGTTTTAGCAAGACTCATTCGTGTTGGCGCGTGTGCCTTGTTATGGGCAGTATGGAACTGCAGAAATGATTTGGTTTTTAACAGAGCAACGAACTTTCATTTTTTGCAGGTTATCTTCAGGGCCACAGCGTTGATCCGTATGTGGTCGCTACTCACTCCGATGGAGGACAGGGGGCATTTGGCTACTGCGTCTACCCGATGGGAGATGGTAGCTCGGGTTATTTTCAACCGGTTTGGATGGCGGTCATGTAATAGGATAGGCATGTAGTGCTCCTATTTTTTGCCAGCCGGTTGTGGCTTTATGTTTACGCTCGTCGGAGCGGCTTGTCGTCTTTTTTACTTTAAACCTGCTGAAGACTTTGTGACACTCTCTATTTTAATATTATGAGCCGTATGCATCTTATTGATGCAGAGGCTGGGGTTGCACCCCTTTTCAAAAAAAAATGTATTGCAAAATGAAATCATATGGAAACTACATATACTTAGGATCCAGTCCCCCCCCTCCGCCCCCTTTATGTGTCAAAAACAATCTTATATTATATGACGGAGGGAGTAGAACCGAAAAGGTTTATATAGACATATAAAAATGCAAAATAGTACTCCTTCCGTCCCAAAATTTAAGATCACATGGCATGCCAACCAAACAGCAATCACTCGAGCAAACGAGCAGCCAAATAATATCTTCGTCTCGAAATCCTCTTGGACATACGAATCAAAATGAATATTTGAATATTTTCCTCCTTTCCGAGAAAAAAAACTCAAGATCCACTACACGGGTAGCACTTATCCAAATCTCCAACTATATGCCTTACCATAATAAATCTCTCGCCATCCGACCTATCAGTGCCTCATACACTACCCTTTATCTACTTATAATCGCCGCGGTCATCCCCTTTCCCCTTTGTTTTGCCTATATGGTAACCATTTTAACACATATAGTTTACACACTTGCATATCGACCCATTCTCTCGCACGGAGCGACTAAACCACCTATATAACTCTGCTCCCACGACCATTGTGCTAGTATGTATACTCTTTCGCCCTTGATAGGTTCTCCCAAAGTGAAAATGATCGCCCCAACATGACTCTTCACCTTGGATCTCTAAACTCACCTCGCGATCTCCTTGTGCCACCTCCTGACTACCCTGCCCCCGTCGTCGACGGAGTGAAATCGCTACATGTATAGGAGTTTCATCAATGGCGACAACAAGATCACCATAGCTGAAAGAGTAAGGCAAATAGTCACTGTGTCCAATAAAGTGTCATTTTAGTCGCTCGGGTGGTTATTTCATCAGGTACACCGTGTGATGGTGTCCTGGACTAGGGGTACTAACCTAGTCGGCTCATGTTTCTTGGATTGGGCCGATGGGTCCTCATTCATTCTCAAGAAGGACTTCGGAGGTTGTACGCAGGGGGCGTGATCGAGACTACATCTATCGAAGACTTGTCGTATACACCAAGATTTCTCCTGCCGCCCATTACCTAGATACCGACCCTGTGACCCTAGATAACCCACCTGGCGTATTATAATCCAAGGGGTTTAGCCCGTAGGGGGGACATCAATGCAATATCATTCACCTAGCCATATAATCAGACCATATTTTACGATCTCGAGGTAGATCAACTCTGTACTGGATACATCTATATCAATATAAACAAGAGCAAACGTTGGGTTTTACCTTCATTAAGAGGGCCCAAACCTGGGTAAACATCGTCTCCCTATTCATGTTACCGCCTGTCCGGAATCCATAGCTCGGGACCCCCTACCCCGAGGTCTGCCTGTTTTGACCGACATTGTGGTATAAATATACAAATATGATATCCTCTTACATTTCCAATCAAATATATACTATTGTCCAAATTTAAATATAATTATCATAGAAGATGCATGCAAAATCTATTTTTTTACTATTTTTGTGAACTAAAGGGGGCAATAGCAATAATAGAATCAAAGACATAAATTTCAATGCCTATAGTGTTAATCTATCAAAGGATTCCATGCAAAAACAAAAATAATCAAATGTCAAGGCCCTCTTCGAGTTGTAGGATTTTTCAGGAATAAGAAAAACATGGCAATATAGTATCATGTCCTCTTGTGTTCTATAGGAATTCAAAGCTACGGGTATGTGGATGCAACAGTGTTTGATAGCACAAGAAAACATTTTTAAAAAATGAAAACAAAGAAATCCCATGAAGATTTTTGAGTGAATTGATTTTTTCTCCAAAATATAATAAAATGAATCCCATGGGAAAAAATTCAATGGATCCCAGTTCTTTTGTGACTCTGTGAATCGAAGGAGCCCAAGGCTGGTCATAGTAGGGAGTAACTTATACTACACTAATCTAAGAGCAACTCTAGCAGACCCTGCAAAACGCCGGCCCGTAGAACGCGTTTGCAGTTCGCGCAAAACAACTTTTGCGGGCTGGCGCGAGCTGGCACAGATGCAGACCCCGCAAACGGATCCGTAAAAAAGTATATTCGCGGAATATGTTTTTTTACGGCTCGGCTATGCGGGTTCTGCTCGGACACCACGGTGACGACCCGCAAACAGATAAATTGCAAATCTCGCATTTGACATGGGATTTCACAAACAAGTTTAAATTCAAACGACACAGACAGTTTTACGCGTAAATAGAAGCCAGGTTCATTACGGCTAACGCAAAAAAGGGCCCTGCAAAAGGTTTGCGCCCATGTCCGGCATCATCTTGATCGATCTTCACTCCGCGCCATCGAGTCCACCTTGGGGTTCATCGGCGCCACCGAGTCCACCTCCGACGCTTGTTTCAACTCCCGCACCGAAATCATCCACATTGCCACCATATGGAGCGGAGAAAACATCACCGAAACTGTAGCACGAACCGGCCGATGCCACTATTCTTCTCTTCAAGATTTCCCTCCTTGTCATATCATGCCATGTTTTGGTGAGATCGTCCATGTCATTGCGGTTCATTGACATGATCTTGTTCTCTTCGGCGAGCAACATGGACATTGATTTATTTTCGGCGGCTCGTGCTCTTCTCTCCTCGATGACAGCTTTACGCAACCCCTCTTCCTTGAGCAACTGCCACTTTTCGTGCTTCTCCTTCGCCTTCTTCTCGGCTAACTCTTTCTTGATCTCCAACGATTTCAACAACATCAACTCGTTGGATTGCAACATGGCATCAATCTTCTCCCTCAAGCTTGATGCTTCTTGCTCTCTCTTCATCTTCTCCTTAGTCTTCTTGTCATCGTCGGGCTTGTGCAAAATTCTTGGGCCATCATCATCCTCATCTTCATCCATATTTGTAAGTGAGCCTCTCTTTGGTGGGGATTCTTTGTCGATCAACTTCCACTTCTCGCACTTTTGGAGCAACTCCCAACAATGCTCTAGTTTGAAAAGTTTGCCTTCCGAAGCTTCCATGTCCTTGTATCTATGTTGAGCAATCTTTTCCTACACAATGTGAACAAAGTGATCCAATCACTTCTCATGGTGCAATATGATGGTGCACAATTTGAACAAAGGCAAAACAAACTCACATGGTCAGACTCCACGGTGCCACTTGGAGGTGCATTGCGTACTTGCTCC